CACCTTGAAGGCCAGCTTCATTGTCGATAGGTAAGGCCATTTAATTTGAGAGCTCGTCGTTGCTAATCTGAAATCAAAGGCACTTCCGAAAATAAGCGTGAAATGGTGTATTTTTGTAGATTCGTATCAAATAACCACTGTTATCCTTAGCCCCACGGTGGACGCCAAACTGTTTACCCGAAAAACGGATAGAGTTGAATTTGTATATAGTTCTAATGGTATGTGGTATAACTTGACACAAATCGTAAGAGTAAAATGAAAATATCGAATATTGATTGCAAAGAATGAAAAATAAGCAAAGTTGGAAAGAAGATGATTTATGGATTAAGCAAGATGAATCAATCTATGAAGCTAAAAAAGGATAATTCTTCAATATAGGAGTGTATGATATCTCAGTTACAATGTATGTAAAACTTGATGCCTTTACAGGAATATCGCCATCCCTTTTATAGTGAGGGAATCCTACTTTAAATATAATTAAAAATACATAGTGGGGAACCCATGATAAATCAGTTTTTTCCTAATTTCCGACGAGATTCTCTCCCTTAGTGCGGCTGCAACGACTCTTGTCTGTGAGCTCGACCCTGATCGGACTCGGTATCGGTCGATATTGGTCGGCGTCCAGCTTTAGAGTTCGGTGCGGGTTCGAGGTCGATGCTGACTCGGGGTTCAGAAATGACTTGGGCTCGGTATTGGTTAGTCTCTGGCCCTTAAGCTCGATTCAATCACATCTCATCATAGTTTGATTCAGACTCGAACTCGATAATGACTTCGAGCTCGGTGTTTAACCTGTACCTGAAATCTGAAGCTCGTTTGTCCCATCTTCGGATCTATTTCGATTTTATGAAGAATTTCTTCGGTCCATTATGATCCCATCTCGATCAGACGTACGAAGGCATGCCCCAAGGACAATTAATGTGTATATATTTTCATAGTATCGGTAGATAAAACTACATAATAGCATATAATTAAGCAAATGAGGGATAATATGCTCCGGCTCAATACAGGGGCGGATCTAGAGTATTAAGTACGGGTTCGAATAAACCTAATAGTTTTTGCTTAGATATTATATTTGTAATTCATTAGATATATAAAAATATTTAATTAAAAACTCAATAACTAAAACGGGGTATGAAATTAGTAACAAATTCAAAAGCTATGGCAAAGACATAATACGCGAAAAAGGGAGAGATGCCTCAATTCTTTATCATCGGGGAGAGGGGGGAATTATGTGGTGCAAAAGACAAAAAGGTTCTGAAGCGGAAAACATGGTGTATGGGTCTTTTTTCGATTTTAGTCTACGGGGAGGCCTCTAAAAATGGCTAAAATCTTCCATGTTTGAAAAGGATAAGAGCAAATTCACAAGTCTTTTTATCTCATCCCATCCAAACAGTCCTAATTCATACCTGTCGTCTCTGCATAATTTTGTCTAGTGTATGCTCAAATTTAGCAAATGTAGATTGATGATTTTGAGTGAGTGGATATCAATTGATACTGCATAATTCATTATCTCTTTGTTTGAGAAAGTGATGTGAATTAAATATAAGTATTCAGACATCAAGATTTAAAATATTCAAACCAAATATGATCTGTATATAAATTTAATTTATTTTGTATATGTGTACATGATTCGAGACTAATGCAATATATTTACAGTGTAAAAGATATTACAACTAGATGTACAGTTGTTAGTATCTATTTTCAAAAGACAAAAATTATACATCCGTTGCTGGTGTGGTGACAAGATATCCATGCTCGTGAACATTCATAACCCCGACCCCACCAATTATTATATTCATATATCTCGATCTATTTTTGTTGGCATTTTGCATATTATAAAAGGCAAGTGGGCAATGACACGAGGCAGACGAATAGCACTTCAATCAGTGAAGTTTATCTTAATCCTGGATAGGGAATCGATTATCCACACAATATCTTGCACTTCCAAAAAGAATGAAAAGTTTTTTACCGAACCGCGATTAAGAATAAAGGTATCTATCTAGGTCCAAAGTTGGATATGCCGTAGTTGAGAAGAACCTGAAGAGAATGGAAAGGACAATGAAAAGAAAGATGCCAAATTGCCAAAAGTTGGGTGTGTTTGTGCCTCCCAAGATTTGATTATCTGCTTATAGGACCAAAGGAGGACCAGAAGCTGATTAGATACCAAATGTCCAAATTTGTCAGGAGAAACTTGGATTCCACTTTCCTTAAGCTGTCTCTCCCACATTATTTTGGTCCCCAGTCACCATCTCTGGTCAATTGTATATATGCCTTAGGAAGGTAAATAATGCAGATATTGTCTAGTGAGGTGAAAGTTGGTACTACCTCTATTTTTTTTTGTCCGTTCCAAAAAAATTATTTCTTTTTAAATTTGGTAATAATTTAACTTAAACTTACAATTCTACTCTTAATGAAAAGCTTTTATAATCACACAAATACTCTGGCCCCTTTTTGACTTATTTAGGATCACAAATTTTAAAAATCTTTATTTTTTATTAAACTTTGTGTCCAATCAAACAAGTTCTGATAAATTAAAATGGAGAGAGTAATACATTTGCCAAAACAAATCACCTCATTCACAAAGGAACAAATTTACGAGGGTAATCCAAATAAAAATACTGGTAAAGCTTTTTATGTCCCGTTCTATATGAAATTTTTCCTATTTGAATAGTCGAACATTTTTTTTATTAAAGTACCTGCTACCACTCAACAAGGATTACTCTTGCCACCTGAAACCTACAGTTATACACTTTATACTCTTACGAAAGCGTTGGGTTTCGAACATTTAATCATAACTTGCGTGTATTCGTATCAAGTGATATAAAAAAAATCACATAATATAAAAATAAAATTTTAAAAAGGGTAAGTTCTTAAAAATAATGAATGTTAATCTCATTTCGTTAATTCATTGGAAAAAAGCTTGCTCCACAAAAGTCCTTTCACAAATAAATTATTTTAAAATTATTTTCTTTTACCTAATACTAATAAATCACAAAAATACTTTTTAAATAAATTAAATTAAAAAGTTAAATATTTTGGTATTTTAGAGATTTGGAAATAAATAGATTGCCATGTAGCTCATAGAAAATATTTATTGGTAATGATGCAAAGTTTAAATTTGACTAATGTTGCTTTAATATTTTACCAAAATAATTTAATATATAAAAAATATAGGGAGCTACCATGCGTTGAAATGAATGTGAAAAGAAACAAAAAATTAATACCAATAATTCATTTTAGAATGCATTTTATGTACTACTGTGTTATTATTATTGATTTAAGTTTATATTTTTACCAATTTGACTTTTAGTACTATAGAATAACTATTTTGCTTTATTTTTTATATCGTTCATTACCAATGCTCTTTTTATAAAAACATATTTATGTAGCCTAAGAAATTTTTTCAACTTGAAAATAATTTTTACTTATATAATAATTTGGAAATAAATTGCATTGGATACATTTAATTGCTAATTAGTTAATTAATTTCGACATTAATTATTTATTTTCAACCTTAAAGGGAATAATTTTTTTGTTGATTCAAATTCATATTAGCTCATCTAAGCTTTAAATATTTAAATTTAACAATAATTTTGTCCAAGCATTTATAACTTGGAAAATCCCTTTTACCCTTTGAAGTTTTAATAATATTAGTTTATCTAAAGTTAAATTTAGTTAGATATTATTTATGTTATAATTTAAGTACCTAAATGTTTGAGTTTGTACATTATTCAAATAAGAAAAAATCTAAAAATTAAATTATTAAAATAATAATTTGTCTAATATAAATTTATCTCCAAAGGATTAAAATATTGATCATTTTTGCAAAGTCTTCATGTTTTTATAATTAGTAAGTAATAGATATTAGATGCTTGCAAAACAAAGACAATGAAAGAGGTAATTAACCTATCAATTTAGATTTCGAATAAGGATGGGATAATAAAAATTAACGCTTCAAATAGTTGACTTTTTAACTATTTATTTAAGGTAAAATTTAATTGATTTAAAGTCCTAATTTTTAAGTATATAATTCAAATTAGAAAAAATTAAATAACCAAATTTCAACGAATTTTCAAGCCCTAAATATTAATAAAATAATTAAATAACTATTTTGTCTAGTATCAAATATATTTTTAAAGGGAAAATCATAGAGGATCCCTTTAAAATATATTTTAACTTTAAAGGTGAAGAAAGAGAAAGAAAAAACAACAAAAGTGATTTAACTAAACGCTTAGATTAATTTGTTGATATAGCCACAGAGAGTTTTTGTGCTTCTGCTTTTTAGTTTTCGTTGACCTCTTTGCTTTTATATGAACCACTTAAAAATTATATTTTTGAGAATGTGTGAATATTATGAGAATCAAATTTTTTATTTATCTATAACGTAACGTGAAAGGAGCTTAAAAGTGAGATGTTATTACTTGACCTAATTTATAGAAAATTTCGAGGTAAAATCTTACTCAATCTCAAATTCCTAAATATTAGGAGTTTTACATAGATCAAATAAGAAAATATTATATAAGAAAAAAATTTATTTGATTTCAAAATCCTAAATTTTAGAAAAACAACTAATTACAACTTGTCCAACTCTATTTTTAAAAGGCAAAAAAAACGAACGACATTTCGCTAACGGCCTTCGTGCATCATAGGACAAAAAGAGTTTAGTCATAAAATTATTCGATGATTACGCTTAGCTATAATCAACGTTGAAAGCCACAAATATTAATAGATGGCAACCTTCAATTATTGCCCTTTAAGCATTGCGGCTAAACAAAACGAAAGATTTGCAGAATTAAAGGCAGAAATAGCATCTTCAAAGAAAAGCATGTTCTTAGATATGAATACATGGTTCAGTGCTGAGTGCTGACATACGTTCATGGGTTTGTAAATGTTTGTACAGTACATTACGAAATCCTTTCTTTGTGGCAGCAAAAGGAAAACATATTCTCAAACCTAGGTAGGACCATAGTAATACTTATATAGTCCTCGACTCATCTGACTTTTTGGAGATACTATCCATCTGCTCAATATTTCTTAATGTTTCAAGAACACATATTACACTCTGAACGAATTCATATAGTTATACTTCAGAGGCACAAAAAATAAGAGAAAGGAAAATAAATTAAGAGGGAAAGTAAACCAGGAAAGGAGAAAACAAATTGAATTTTGCTCATTCTTCCAGGTCTCACACAGCTAAAAGAAATAATACAGTTAACAAGAAGCTGGTATACAGAGAACTACCTAGTATAACCAGCAACTCAACCAGAAGAAGCGTTCACAATAATTGGCTGTCACCAGAGAACTTGGTCCATTGGATGCTAGATCTTTTAGTGAGTGCGGGTTCTACTGCTTTCAGCATTTCGTACAGGATAAAAATATGGATGAGCCTGCAATGTCGATCACAGTTACAGTGGGCAACATTTCTAAGAATCTTGAACTGACCGCATATTTAATAATCAACAACATATTGCCCGGTAGAAATCAAAGATGATTAAGGAAAAAAATTGGGAATTTTAACCTTCATTTTAGGAAAAGAGAGAACTTTATTTATTTATTTATTTTAGGAAAATAGAGAACTTTCTTTATTTATTTAATAAGCTGGAAAATAACAAAAGGCAGGGAGGATTTTACCATTGCTTCTTTTGCAGTTGGTCTTTCCTGATGATCGTAGCGGAGCAGTTTGTCAACAAAATCAACCGCCTGAAAAATAAGCATTGCACATTTTTAGGTAAACAGAATTTCATCTCATTGTATTTATAAAATCTATCGAAACTAGCTTTCATACCTCAGGGACTGCGAGATGTTGGTTTTCAGCACTAATAAACTTCGACCATGGTTTCCTACTATGTCTGAACAATGAAAAAGTCTAATTATCTAGCAGAGAATGATCCATTTGGAAATATAGTTTTTGAGTTGACAATACTAACCGTCCAACAAGGGCTGCAAGATGAGGATCTAATTCCAATCTATACTTGTTTAGATAAGAATTTAATTCATCTGTCCCCAGAATCTGATGATCAAAACATAAAAAAGGAACTTTTAAGGGGTCTCTACATCAAAGTATTGTACTCTTTTCTAAATGCAAATATACAACACATGCATGTTTACCCTGGTAATCTTACAAAACTTCGGTCATATCATCTTCCAAAACAATTTAGAATTCTTTTAAGACCCCGTAAAGATGATGAATACTGAGTAAGGCAGGGCTGAACTGACAGTTGAGTTAAACTCCCATTTTGCTGGTAAATCATCCATCCTTACCATGGGGTTAGGTGAGCCAAGGGTGATTATAATTACTACAGTTGCAAGACCACAGTTCAACAAAAACAGAAGTGGGACTGCAATGATCATAGATCAGTCTAGCTCAAAAGAAATCATATGCATCATGAACCTACTCTCCATCTACTTAATTGTTTAGAGAGCAGACACGAGTCCTGCATTTCATAGCCACCAACCAACAAAATATTTCCATTTGCTTAGCCATAGCCAAGGTTATGTCTAGACTCATTTAATGGCATACATCTGATATGGGTATTTGTAACTATCCAATATTAGTACGTGCAGCCTTTTGCTAATTATGTAGAGCATTTTGAAGTATCTGCACAGAATACCTAGGTTGTAGGTTAGGAGGTAGTTGAGCATATTTCTAATTCGTACCAGTGCGGGGCTAGTCTGATAGGATTGTCTTATACTGCTAGTGGCCAATGTTGTGTTCACACTACTCTTCCGTTTTCATAGTGCCGGGCCTTATTTACTGGTTATTGTTTTTGTTTTTCATCTATTTATTGGTTCCTATGATATTATTATTCCTATGATTTTTGTTGATGGTACTGATATATCGTCTCTTTTCGTCTAGGTCTATTGGAAATAGTCTCTCTAATCCCTCAGGATAGAGGTAAGGTCTGCGTACACACTACCTTCCTGAAACCCCACTTGTGGGATTTTACTAGGTCGTTGTTGTTGTTACTATTTGATGCTACTTTTTCTTTTTCGGCTTCTCCTTTTCCATTTTCGTCTTTCTTCTTCCCGTTTCTTTTTTTTTCATCTTTTCTTGAGTTGAGGGTCTATCGGACATAGCCTCTCTGCCTCGCCGGGTAGGGGTAAGGTCTGCATACACGCTACCTTCCCTAAACCCCACTTGTAGGATTATACTGGGTATGTTGTTGTAGTATAGGATGTAAGAATTTTCTAAATGATCAAGTCCCTGAAGAACTGCTCCAGATTACTCCCTTTCCCCTCGCCCAAAAAAACTAAAAGAGAATTCAAGAAACAAAGGAAAAGACATGAGACAGATATATAGTGTCCTCCTAGGCACATAAGATTGCAACCCCTCAGCCTTCTGTCAAAAAAGTTCACGTTTGGGGAGAGGGAACAATAAGTGAAAAACTTCCATTTTTTCCGGTACAACTCAATATTCTCAAAAGCTTCTTGGGATTATTAAATGAAAGAAGAAAGAGTCTTAACAGCTATGGACCCTCATCGATGACTTTTTGGACAAGGAGGGTCTATAGCTGTTAAGACTCTTTCTTCTTTCATTTAATAATCCCAAGAAGCTTTTGAGAATATTGAGCTGTACCAGAAAAAATGGAAGTTTTTCACTTATTGTTCCCTCTCCCCAAACGTGAACTTTTTTGACATCATCGATGAAATCCACTTATTAGGGCAATGATAGGCAGATCATAATTTATTTAATATGGTGCATTTTCCCTAGTATTTAAATATATCAATGAGCACCATGCAAAAAGAAATGCAAGAACAGATGTAGGCTCTCATGGAGATTGTGGTTGGTGCCAAGGTGCCTGAGCATGGATGGAACATGAAATTCAGAAGGGACAGTTTTGACTGAGGTTGACAGAATCATATCAGTATCGAACGAGCTTAATAAGATCTCTATTAAAACAGAATCCTCAGATTCTTTAATCTGGACTCTGCAGAGAAATGGGACTACTCTGTTCACTCCTGCTATAGAAGTCTGGTATCCTTAAGATGTCCTTTTCCTTCTTGGCCCAGAATGTAATTTGGTTTGCTCCTCACGGAGTACCTTTTGAGCTGGATGTTAGTCCAAGATGGTAGATTGACAGACTCTAACTTGCAGAGGAGGGGCCTGCAAATTTGCAGTATATTTTGTGAAAGGGAGGTAAAGGGCAGCAGGCATCTGTCTCTTCACTGTCCACTTATGGAGCCTTGTTTTGAATATATTTTGTAATAAAACGGGTGATGAAATCAACCAAGAAACTTCTCAGTAGATGGACAGGAAACAGAGAGTACAACAAGAGGCGTTTTGAGGGAAAACTTCATCCACAGGCATGCTGAAGGTGTTAGATGTTTATGTAATAGCTCTCTGGTCTAATCAGTCGGATATACATGCAAAGGAGAAAAAAAAAGAGAAATGTCATCAATTAACAGAGGTAATGTATCTTATGGAACAATATTTTTGTACAGCCCAGCACTACTTTAGTGCTTGGCAATTTACAGTAATATAATACTTGCTACTAATTTCCAAAAAAAGAAAAGGCAGGGAGTTGATGATCTTAACAAGTGATAGAAAAAGTATCAGCCAGTAGGCTTGTGGGTGACTGGACAGTATGCAAAGGCCAATTATTATTAATGAAGCATGTTGTCTTGCGGGACGACCTATAGTGATGCATCGGTGAGGCTTGATAAATACGGGTGCATAGACAGACAACACCACCAATTGGTCATGATTTGCAAAGGACCGGGAGCGGTTTCTTTATTCACTGCTTGGTCTCATTTTTATGGTGGACCCTGTTTAACTTCATATGATGGGTTATGGATGGAGAGATCTGTGCTGATGATTAACTTCATACAGTTGGAACAAGTTTTATATGTAAACCATAATTTACTCAGAACAATCAGAGAATATCATTCTCATGCTTCTCAAAGCACCGCAAACATATATATACATATACACACACACACACAGATATATACACTTGCATGTGTGTGTATTATATATAGCCATTTACTCTATGTGGGGCATTATCATATGCACCATAAGTCCATAATCACAATAGTACAATTTCACATTGCCTGTGAAAACCGTCGATCTGGATGAATCAACACTATTAAGATTCTTTCAGACTTAGCTTCATGTGTGAGTTAGTTACCAATTTATCAAAGAAAGAAAAGGAAGATGTGACTTCATTCCCAAAGCATGCATGCCATATATTAAACATCAAAGGCTAAACGATAAACTTCAAAGTGGACATTCTGCATACCTTCGCAATCTTCACAAGTTGATCATGATTGTCATGCCCATAGAAGAAAGGCTCCTTCCGGAATATCTATACAGTACAATTCCTTAGAAGTAAGCATCAAAGTGAGAGGACACCTTAACAGACAAGTAAGTTCTGACTTTTGGACCTCAGTATCTGCCATTCATGCATGATTTACCAGACGAGAATCAGTCATGAATGGCATAATGTAAGTACCAAGTCAAGGACAGATAAAAAAAGGTAGAGAGCATAACGCATGCAAGATGAAGTCTCGAATGTGCATCTGTATGACACCAAAAGAGAGCCAAAAAAGGGTGCAAAAAGACTGTTGCTCACCATTCCTGCAAACATACAACCAAGACTCCACAAGTCCAACGAGTAGTCGTAGTCTTGCAAATCAACAAGTAGTTCAGGACCTTTGAAATATCTGAGACCATAATGAGAGGAGGTAAGTCCGTCAGAAGCTACAATGAGAAAGCAAAGCAGCCCTCCAAAAATATTGAGATTAGATACAGAATTAAAACTAGTGTTTGGTATTTGAGGGGAAAAGGGCAGAAAAAGCATATGTAACCCATATCAATAAAGTAACAAAATGTGCATGCAACAAACCAGAATCATTTTTCTCTATTATGGCAAAAGCAAGCAAAATCCTAGGAATTTATAATCACATAAATGAGGTGATAGTGATACTTAATTATAAAGCTTCATGTAAGTGCTATATCTTCATGGATGAGGGAATGCTCTTAACTATCACAAAAGTAGTATCCCATTGAACATGACTAATACATAGAGACAGACAAAATACTTCTGCTTTGATTCTTCTGAGCTCAAAAACCTCCCTTCCGTTGCTTACGCTACCAAACCCAATTCCTTACCCCAGCTGGGTTCCTGACCCTAACACTTGCAAGGAAATGCACTTCAAAATACATTTATTATCCTAACCTCTCTGTCTCTCGAATTGCATTCCCATCAAAATGAACTCTTAGTATTAGACTGCTAAACCAAGTATAAATCCAGTATATACGTTTTCGAGTCAAAATTTTGGCCAGCCTATGTAGGAACTGGAGGTACGATTTTCTAATATGCATTTTTTTCTTTGGGTAAGTAGGTTTCTAACTATGCATTCCCACCAAAAATTTATCCTCTTAGATTCAAGAGCACAATGCCACAATAAACACATGCATTGCCTCCTAGGAGTTCTAAGCATAATCTTTTTTCGTGTTATCATCCAAATAAAAAAATGGTAAAAGCTATAAAACAACGAAAACTATTTCTCAATTCCAAGCTAGTCAGGCGCAGCCATATGAATCCTCAATACGATGTCATTCCATTCAAACCGGTTTCATTTCAAAGCTCAATAATTTGGATTAAGATAAATTAGGTTCTTGCTTTATCCAACAAAAAAAGGTGTGTTCTCCAACACCAAAGGTTCTCTAAATTTCATTTGAAATACAAATTTGCAAACAGATCTAAGGCTCCGGGTAAACATTGGACCTAATATAAGCACATCAACACAACTAAGCGTTAATCCCAACTAGTTGGTATCGTCAATTGGGATTGTTTGCTTCCATTGTGCGCTATTCTACGTTAGGTGCACATGGATTCACAAAGAATGGTGTTCAATTGGTGATGCCAAAGGCACTGAAAAGCACTCCTGGGGTGCTGGTAAGAACAGAGGATGAGGACACACCGAAAAACTGTTCAAAACACAATATCCATTTATGCACACTTTGGAATGTATGCAAACATATATCAGGTGATTAGAAGGAATGTTTAACTTTGATGCAGTACACAATACGAAATGTAGATGTTAGCAAGTTTTGGTACTTAGTTGTAGGACGTCCAATGTAAATAATTTTGACACTTCGATGGAGTTCATAGACTCCTTACATAGCTAAAGGAGCTATAGTCCTCCTTTCTAGATCCATCGGGTGCTTTAATATGCAGAAACCTCTATTACTTAGCCCCAACAAAGAAATGCTAACGACTACAAGCAAATTGAGATTCCTGCCACCACTCAAATTAATAAGAATAAAGGTAACAAGAGAAATCCTTATTCAAATGTTAAATTGATATGATTTTAAATGTCAAAAGACAAATGATACAAATAGCAGTGGAAGATCGAACCTAGAAGCCACACGGACATTATATTCCTTTCCAGGATGATAAAATTCTGCAAGTCCCCAATCTATTAGCCGAAGTTTACGCTGCTCATGATCAATCATTACATTATGGGGCTTCACATCACGGTGCATAATACCTTGAGAATGGCAATAATCTAATGCCTGTAGAGGATACAGTAATACTTGAATTTTCTGGCACCTCAAGAAAATACCAATTGCAAGGCATAATATAGAAACATATGTAAAAAGAGTCGAGTTTGTAAAACAACAGCAGTACCACAAACAACTGTCATGATCCCGAACTAGAAATATTCATTTCGCTCCATTATAACTCATTTCATTCTTGTGCACAGTAATTTATCTTTATTGTACTCAAACAGAGAAATCTCATCAAATTATGAAGCAGAAATAATATGAACCTGAGATGATACAGTTACCTATCTTTAAACCCAAATCTCACCAGTCAGCCAGAAAATCAAAAGAGTGTGTCTTCTCGACTCATAATAGCAAACAAGGAGCTTTAGATCATACTCCAAGATACTTGTCTACTTTGACTTGCATAGAGATTGATAATACAAAATCCAGTTACACCTTTTTCTTGTTGATAAATCATATCTGGATACATTATTTTTCACTTTTTTGATGACGGAGGTGCCCGAGCCAGCTTGCGCACCCATATCTAGATACATTATTATATTGAATGGAGAAGATATATTTCGGATAATAGTTTCAAACATGAAGAAATGGAGAGTTCAGTTAAAGAGATTAGTTCAAATTGTCGGAGGATTAGTTTTTTCCTCCTAAGAAAAGAATCCAAGCTTTTGGATAGGGTAAAAATGGAAATAGATCAACCATTATGCACATAATCATTCTGTGAAATTTGTTCAAAAAGAGTAGTGAAATTTCTCGCTAGAAATAAGTTCATTATCTCAAAGCAATTTGCACATAATTATCTCCAGATGGTATCCGAATAAGAGATTCAAAGGGAGCATCTTGTATAGCAATAATATAATATTACTATAATCTATAGCAAGCTTCCGTAACCAGAGAAATATTGAAGATAAAACGAAGATCATATATTTGAGAGGCCTTAAAATCCATATCAACAGAGAACTTGCCTTTAACAACTCATAGATGTAATATCTAACGTCGAAGTCGGAAAGAGTAGGATACAGCACTTTAAAATCTGTGTTATTCACATATTCAAATATAAGGCTTGGGGTCTTCGATTGCTGATCTCTGACAATATCGAGTAACTTCACAATATTAGGTCCACCACAAAGATTCTGCAGTATCTTAATCTCACGTTTGATCTGCAGTTAATGTCAATAATATATAAGTACCTACACAAAATAAAGGTGCAAAGATATGTTGTAACAAATAAGAGAGCATGAGTCAGAGCTCCCACAAAAAGACAAATGCACAGATTACTTGCAGATAGATGATACTCCAGCACACAAGTAAGCAAGAGCTACTACAGTAAATTAACAAAACATAGGCAGTTACAGATATACGCAATTGAAAGAATTATTTGGCTAAACAATGAAAGATTAAGAAGTTAAAACCAGAAGATGTCTAATGAGCTTAAACAATATCAATAATATATTACGTAGCTCAGCAACACAGAATTACGCAATGACTAACCCTTTTAAGGACTTGAACATTCTAAGAATCTGATTCCATGGTGTAAGATGACAAATTTATATGATGTTGATACCTTGATGGTTTCCTCAACTCCTTATCTATAGCAGTAAGGTTTTGAGTCTTGCTTTTTTGTATTGCACATCTAATTGCACCTACATGATGCCAATTTCTTTTAATAATACTCACCTTACCTTAATATTCTATTCTAGTCACCCCCGTTTCACCTTCTTTTCAGTTCCAATCTTAAATGGTAGACCGCATCTTTCAAAACTCAAGCAAGTTTTCCTTTCTCCATATATCAAGCCAATTCCAACTTCTTAAATGAGCCTATTCTTTTTCATTACTTATCGGGAAAATGAGCCTAGTCTAGTTCATACTCAAATAAAACACAAGCAAATGAAACAATATGTCATTCTCATTCCCCAAGCTGAAATAAAACTCGTCCAACAATAGATATTCTGACACCTCACAATGAAAAACTTTAAATTTCTGAAAAGCACCAATTTCAGCTTATAAAACTAGCACTGAATACGGATATTATATAAAGAAGGAAAGAAGGAAAAAGAGCAACCTTTTTCTTCTTGACAGGCTTAAGGATTTTGATGATGCATTTGTCATTATTAGTAGTGTGAATTCCCTCAAACACCTCGCTGTACTTTCCTCTCCCGACTTTCCTTACCACCTCGTAATCATCCTGCTCTCTATACAACCAAATCAGCAAATAAAAAGTTAACTTCGTTCAAACAACCTTAATTAATAGCTATAAACAAAGTAAATCAAGCGATAAATGAACAAATTACCCCCATTGAACAGTAAGGGATTCATAATCCCAATACTCTTTGGGTCGGATCACATTGATGTCCGTATAAACCCGGGCCTTGGACGGCGCACCGGGACGCCGAATAGATTTCCCTATTTTCTGCGCCAGGGTTTCGGATAAAGTTGCCGACGGTCGGTGAAGATAAGGAGATGACGGTGACGGTGACGGCGGCGGCGGAGGTAACGAANCGCCGACGGTCGATGAAGATAAGGAGATGACGGTGACGGCGGAGGTAACGAAGAAGGTGATTTGTGTTTCTGTCGGGTGAGAGAGAGCGACGGAGTTTTCGAGGAAAACTGACGGAGGAGAGAGGGGAAGAGAGAAGAGGTGGCCGGAAAAGGAGAGAGGAGGCGATGGTTGTGGTGGTGGCGGAAGGAAACAAAGAAGTGAAATGGCCGTACGGCCATCAAACGAGGGAAGGGAAGGTTATATATTTGGGTAATGGATTACGCACACAATGCTTGAAATGGAACCCTCCTTTCTTTTCCTCATCTTCTTTTTCCCCTTTGACTTTGCATCTCTCATGCGTAGACTCAAACGACACCGTACGTCGGTATTTTCTGAATTTCTTTTTCTGGTCTCGAAGGAATTTGAGGAAAATTACCTCTTACGCCAACTAAGATCTTTTGTGGAGTATTTATTTATAAATCTAGTTAGCGTTTGGACCTAAAAATTGTAATTTAAAAAAAAAATATTTAGAGTTAAGTTGAAAAATAGTATTTGAAATTTGGAGTTATGTTTCGACATTTATTTCACTTGAAATAATGTTGCAATTTTGTGAGTGAGAAAAAAATTGAAAAAGTGGTTTATTTTGAAAAACTCATTTTCAAAATTTTTTGAAAAACTTATAAAATTTCATGGACAAACATGTTTTTGAAAAAATAAATAACAAAAAGAAAAAAAAATATGAACAAACGGGTCCCTAATGTGTTTTTTTTTATCTCAGGTAAAAATAGTTACAATATAACTAAACTAATGTTTGTAACAAACTAAAAAATCAAATATTCCCAGGACTTCCCTCTTCTAAAAGATGAAGGAACATAATAATTTGTTTATTAATCTCGAGTTGTATATATATAACTAATTTTTATTACTGCTAACATAACATATTTATTTTAGCAAAAGAAGTGCCATAGGTGCAGGGATACTTTACATATAAATCACTAATATTTTATATTTGAAATGATGATTCAGAAGATGAACTATCAAGCAATGGCGTTTCTTTGTCAAAGTATATTTTTCTTTTTGCTATGTAGAATATTGCTTATAAAGAGAAATCAAGATAGGCAATTCTCTTTACACCAATGCTCCATTCTATGCCCAGGATAAAAAACAACCGCAACAGCAACTTTAATTTACCTTTGCCTTTCTTATTTGACAAGGGCCAACAAAGCATAGAAGTTGTTATTATTAAAACTGAAGAGGAAAAAAATAAAGTTGTGGAATGGAGAATACCACAAGGCTCTTTTAAAAGTGTCCGCCATATTTGTTCTTCTTGTATATATTGTTTATCACGATAACCTTGCACTTTATAAAGCTAAAAACTTGAGATGTATGTTGCTCAATCATGGGGCAATTCCAATGGATACGAATAGGGCAAAGAATTTCACAAAAAAAAAATGAAATCGATGAGAAAAATATACTACTTGTTTTAAAATAACCTAGCCAGTTCATAAGTCATAACTTACTTGAAGCATATACAATTTCCTTACAAACATGAATTAATACTATAGAGCATGCGAATCTCAATATTCATTATTAATCCAGCCATCATAATTATATGTCATCAGTTATATTATCAACAGACTTCATATATTAGTAAGTTGATTACCGTGAAGATTTATTTTCTAGAAAAGAAAAATGACTTTGATCCTCAGAACTAAAATTACTGTCTTCTTATGGACATATTTGTGAATACCGATAGAAAAATTATTTTTATATATAGAAACACCTGTAGGAATAAGAAAAGAATTTTTTTGGGAAGATTAAACTTTACCCTAAATGTTCCAATTCAATACTAAGTAGTAATGCAACTCAAAGCATCACATTCTAATTCAAAAAAAAAAAAGGTGGATTTCCTCTTTCTTGTATTATAAAAACCTAAAAGAAAGTAGTACGATATTAGAAAAAAAATGAGGCGCAAAGTTACTATACTCGCATGGAAATTTCTCCTAATGCCTAGTGCTAAGGTAGAGTACTATAATCCTAAGGCAACTTTGGCATCCCGCAGCCACCATGGATGAGATTAGGCACTTGGGTAGTCTAGCACGACTTATGTGACAATACTGGTTACTTAATTTGATTAAGTACCTACATCACACCTGGTGCTATCACTTCACAATTTATACCACACCTGTTGCACGCAGTTACATCTGCCATACTTAATAAATTATTTTTCATAGATTTAATTTTATATTAAATCTTGAATATCCCTAGCGAAACTCCTGATTTTGCCATTTATTTGTCACATTCAATAGGAGTTGTCATTGTCCAGAACCATCAAAAAGTATAGTAACTTATCATGAATATTTGGTATGCAGTTGCCCAAGCACTGTACTACAAGGATATATAAGACTTTTCTGAAGTATCTATAAGTTAGCTTCTTTACCTACAGTAATACAGCTAGTTCTGTTGTGCATTCATGTGTGTCTTGTCTCGCTGCATGCCATACATTTGGAGTTCTATTGGTTTATTGACAGAATAGAATACCGAGGAAGTTGGAAACTTTTTCGATAGATATATTTCTTTCTACCTGCCTAATACAGTACTTTGATTGGTTACTTAAGAAACGGACTTTATACTTCCTGTTACTTGATAGAAAATTCTGATGCTAAGGCCACGAGAGCGCAGCTGATATTATACTAGACTAAGAATATGCTCTTACTTTCTATAAAATGAATAAGGAAATTTGAGAGAGTTTCGTTTGTAGTATGAATTATTTGTCAAAGGAAGGTAATGATATATTACTATATTTTAGAAGTGGCAGTTGGGTGGAACAAACATGGGACGAACATTGCACTAAAGAGTTGAACAGAAAAGCAATATACTTTGTACTATAAACTTGGACCCATTTATATAGTATTAAGTGTTAACTGTGTTGGATCTGATTTTAATGATGCAAATAATATATTTGTGTAGGATCTCAAGGAAGCATCCAAGATTGAAGGAATCAAGAGGAAGGAATCAATTGACCATCTAAAAATTCAGAATCAATCAGAGATTGATTTAAATGGAAAAGAAGCAATCGAAGATCTTGCTAGATAATCAATCAAGCTGCTATCTTCAGAAAGAGCAATAATCAAGGAGTAAAACTCGCGTTATCAAAGCCTGTAGAAGGAAAGCTATCAATGAAGAAGAGCAACGGCAAACTGCTAATTTCGGAATGACCAACAATCAAGGAGTAAAACTAGCTCATCAAGATCTGTAGAAGGAAAGTTATCAATGCCCTCGCATCAAGGAAGAGCAACGACAAATAACATTATTCTTGGAAAAAATTAATCTCTTTCCAAGGATCAAATATCTTTAAGTTGTCAAATCTCTTCAGCAAACGGTCTCCTACAAAGTATTTATACACATCCTTAAGGCTTAGACAAACATACTATGATCGAACCAAACACCCTCTATTTGTTCTACTGCAAGCAAACACTGTACCTCTCTAAGACCTGTTGTGTAACAAGTTAGAGAAGAAAGAAAGAACAACACTGGTGAGGCATTGTATCAAAAGAGACGAGTGATATAGGAACTGAGCTATTACGTCATTTCCATTGTACTCGAAGAAACGCATTCACTAAAGAGAACTCTCTTGCAACCCAAGGGGACTGGACTAGGATTCACATTGAATCCGAACCAGTATAAAAATTTCGGTGTCTTTAATTCCTACATTTACTTTCAGCATCTTATATTTTGTTATTACAACTGTTAGTTTATTGCATCTAGTCGACTAATTAAAAAACCAGTCAACTAACAGAGATTAAGTTTAAAAATATACAATTCATCTCCCCCCTCCCCCTCTTGTACTTTCAATTGGTATTAAAGCGAGGCTTACATTTTTCTTTTGCTTAACAGCTTGTGAGAAAAGATCATGGCAAATCAAGTTATCATAGGAGCTCTCTTCTAGGAAGGAACTTCAAAAGTTAGACCACCATACTTCAATGGACAATATTTCTCTCACTAGAAAGTGCATATGGAGATCTATGCCAAGGCATATGATGTTAAAGTTTGGAGAGTCATCAAAAAGGAAAACTATCCCCTGTCAGCTACTACTCCACCACTTGCTGATCCTGAAGATATAGACTCATATATAAAAGAGCAAATGGAAGTGGTACAAGTTAACAATAAAGCGAGAAACCTGCTTTATAATGCCATAAGTAGTGAAAAGTATGAGAAAATCTCTAGCTGTGACACAACCAAAGAAATGTGGGACAAGCTTGAGGTTACATATGAAGGAACCAGTAAAGTAAAGGAAACACATATCAACATGTTGGTTCATGATTACGAACTCTTTTTAATGAAAGAAGGAGAGTCTATTGAAGAGATGTTTGTCAGATTCAGCAAAATAATTAGCGATCTAAAAGCATTTGGCAAACCATATATGAGTGGTGATCAAGTTAGAAAAAATTCTCAGAAGCCTACCAATCACTTGGCAGACCAAAGTAGTCACACTTGAATCTCAGGATCTAAATAAGTTATCCTATGATGAACTACGATTACTGAGGACATGGCCCTTGACAGGGAATTATGGAGGTCGAGCATTAAGGTTGTAGGTTAGGGGAAACTTGTGAATATTTCTACAGCACAATAGAGTGAGACTAGCCAGTTAGGAGTTAGACTAAGAATGTCATTGGTCGTCTATTGATGCAGGGCTTTACCTGCTAGTTTTACTATACCAGCCATCTATTTCGTATTTCGTATTCTGTATTTCATATCTCTTATATTGCTGTTATTTTATTATGCATTTTTATGGTACTAATATATTGGCTCCTGTTGCTTTTTTTGAGCCGAGGGTCTCCTGGAAACAGTCTTTCTACCCTTCGGGGTAGGGGTAAGGTTTGCGTACATATTACCCTCCCCAGACCCCACTTGTGGGATTATACTGGGCCGTTGTTGTTGTTGTTGTTGTATGATGAACTATGAGGAGAACTCATAGCCTTTGAAAAGACACATCTCAAGAAAACTAGTCAAGAAGAAAAAAGGAAAATAGTCGCATTCAAGGCCTCAACTGAAATAGCTAAAAATGAAATCGATGATGATCCTGAAGCTCTACGAGAAGAGATTGCTATGCTATCAAGAAACATGGATGGCTTAATGAGAAGATTCAGAAATATGAGAAAAGGAAGAATTTCACCTAGGCGATCCAGGCAATACAATGAACAGGACAAGAATGATGGAAAATGCTATGAGTGTGGAAGATTTGGACACATTCAAGCTGAGTGCCCAGATCTAAAAAATATCCAGAGGCCTTAACAAGAACAAATCTTTTGGAAGTT